GGACGTTTTCCTGTATGCACGGAGTACGGCATCCTTGGCCCAGCCGAGTTGTGTGAACAAGTCTGAAGTCGCCAACGCACACATGTTCCCACGCTTGGCTTGATGGATTCTTCAGCATGTCCCTCATCACCACCGTATGCGATTCGGCGGACGAACCCCTTGACGCCTGCTCGCCCATCCCGCACCAAAACCGCCAATCGCACGCACAGTACCTACATGCTGAGGAGACTGGGCAAAAAGTACCCTCGCCGTGGTTCTGGCACGGCCTGGTCATCCATCACGCGGCGATCCACTTGCTCGGGGCCATGCCAAAACAGGCACCTAGTCAGAGGAGACTCAATGCCCTCCCCTCACAGACCGACCTACATAATATCACCATATATTACTCCAATGCGACGCTAGCCCAACCCGAGACGTTCAGCGAAGCCAGGCTTGGCCGGCGATTGTCATGCCGCCCCCTGCCCCCGAGGACCTGCTCTCCATGGTATGTTGCAAGTTTTCCAGCTCACCTCTGTGTGGACGAAACACACGATGTTACCAGCACATCTTGCTGTATCGGGTAGGTAACATGTGGGAATCGCTCTGTCGCAGTGCTTCAGAACCCTTCAGCACCCTCGCCTTTCTCCCTTGACTGATACATGCGTACCCATAAATCAAGGTACGGGTGTAACTTGTTGACGTGTTGTCGCGTGCTGGTTCCAACACAGTGGCTGCGCAGCAACTGGTGGTAGAGAGTGTGCTCCAATAGTTGCTCAGCATCCAGGTGTGGCTTGGGGCATCCTATCGAGTGTGGCCGTCTCGGTGGATTGGTTGGTCGAGCCCAAAACATCGGGCTTAGACGGCGATCGTGCACAAAGGGCCAGGCCACCTGCGGCTTATCTCACTGCCCGCCAATCATTCTTCTCTCCAATTTACTTTGTCAGGTGGTCTGCCGCATGTACTCGATACCCCATGGCGCTTCCGTTCCCCAGCTCAGCGATTCAATTGTAGAGTTGCACGATGTTAGTGGGGGGGCAGTGGTGAGGCTTGCAGCAGTCTGTGCATAGAAATTGTTCCTCAAATACCTTACCTCCACACTGCTCGCCTCATCATCCCGTTCTCTTACAGGACTATTCTTCGTTGGTCAATCTAGCAGACTCAACAGCCGAGCTTACTACCTGCATCAAAAATATTTATAGATCGATTGGGTATGTAGGAGCGAAAAATAACCACCTACCGAACCTTAAAAAAGAACGATGCCACCGATATCAACTGTTGGGTCGTGCTTACATGCTCCTTCCGAGGCACTAAACTTCCAGCCAAACTAAAATCGATGCTGTATTATTCAGCGCTATCTTATTCGCCTATGGCTCGATATGGAAGAACTGACAGGCAGCTGACTGCATTTTAACTCTGAAGGGAAGCATACCGCCCTACCAACGAACACGAGTAGGAACAACCACGCCGTTCTGGGGTGTACCGTTATCACAATTCTCCCAATAAAGCGATCTGCAAATAATAGCTGCTATTGCTACATATTTTCATCACTGAACTCGCATAAGGTAGGCAGTGGTCAGAAGCGCCGGAGTTGAGGTACAGCAGCAAATCACCACCCGTCATAGGACCAACCACTAAGCCTCGATTCGGCACAGCCACTTGGCACATGGTCAACCGAGAAATAGACCGAAACAAAGAGCAGGAGCAGAGACGATGATACTGAGAAACGAACCAAATGTTCAAGATTATGGTGGATCATTCATCTCCATACGAGACTCCATCGCCCTCCCCACGACGAGCTAGCCGTAGATCATAAGTCAAGTTTAATTGCTACTTGCATAGGTTAGATACCGTGTATTGCATGGATATCGGGAGCCGAATCCCCCCCATCGAGAGGTCTCGGGACTAAAAGACGGGAGATTTGATTCGACGGCGAGAACTGCGACACGTCTTCTAGAGTGAAACATCAGGAATACCGTCGATGCTAAAACATCCTTGAACTTGTGGCCTATTACTATGAACCATCTCAATATGCCATGAGGCCTCTACGCGTTGGCCATTGCTAATTGCTGGGACGGTTTGCAGTAGTGGTGGCACGTGTCTAAGTCTATGAGCCTCTAGTAACAATCCTCCAGACATTTATTGATGCCACCTTTGTCATCTACGGTAGTCACAGTTGGTACACATCTGCACACACATAATCACGAGAAAGTAGGAACTTGACTAGTAGTAAAGTACGTCGCTTCTTGGTCAAAACATGACAAGTCGTTAATGTAACTCCGAGGCCCGGCCGCTTAGCTCCCTTCAATATCTCACGTATTTGGTCTGGTTTGGTCCTGCTTGTCTTTCCCCCATTAAGCGATATCTTGGCCTTCTCCGTCACCGCCAGCTCTAACGTAAACCAACGTCGATCGGTGTCTGCAGAATCACATTTAACAAAGGAGATCCATGTCTGAAAGCATGTCCCATGTTTCCGTTTAACCATAGGTCATCGAACCAAAGAGAACAGACAGACCACCGTGCCTCACACTCATATCACGCCACCAAGTATGTTAAATGGCATACTTGCGAGTCCACTCCCTAGCCGTCGCCTCGTAGCGTGGGCGATCGGTTTTGTAGACGTGGGCAATCTCGGGAACGAGCGGATCATCAGGGTTCGGGTCCGTCAGCATAGAGCAGATAGACAGGAGAACTAGGCATCGCTTGTTAGTGGAAACCGTAGTGAATTAGCTTTCCATGCAGTATGGCTTACCTTTGGAAATTGTCAACGCGGGACTCCACTGGTCACGAAGAATGTCCAGGCAGATACTGCCATTTGAGTTGATATTGGGGTGGTAGATACGGGTAGTGAAGTTCACCTTGGGAGGCTTGAATGGGTAGTCTGTAGGGAAGTGGATGGCAAGGAAGAAAACACCGCCAGAGTAAGGCGAGTCTGAAGGGCCCATGATAGTTGCTTGCCAGTGGAACTGTGAATCTGGTTAGCCAGAGCAACGAGTTTGACGCGAGCTACTCGATGAACAACTCAAGCATGTCCAAGGCGGCCAAAGCAACCAAAGAGTCTCGAAAGAGAGATCATCAGCATATCACGAGGGGGTGGACGGGCATACCAGATCTTCGCCAACGGGACCAGCAGAGCAGGAAGAGGGCGGGTCACTATGAATCACTTGTCAGCATGACTGTATCTCGTTTGAAGTCGTCCCTCAAGTCCATCGAAGCATCGTAGAGGTGTCTTTTGCAGCTTGAGTTCCCCAGGAGAAGGGACCCCGCTTGACTCGCAGCCCCACCTGACACCATCTTCGCACTGCTGGGAGGGTTTCTGGGGAAGGAAGGGGATGTTATTCTTTCGTACCGGCCGAGGTCAGTGAGTTCCTTGTTAATGCGCTTAAGAGCCATTTTGTGTGATGCGTTGGGGGGGTATCTGAGGGCGTGAAAGTGAGAGATTCACAATCGCTGGTTTCTGCAGAGGCGGTTAGCGGGAATGACGACGAATGCCACCGAATGCGGGAATGACGCACATCAACGAAAGTATGGCTTTCTCAAGACGACACAGGCGTGCAAGAGAATAAGAAAGACTGCGATGCAGTTGGGGTGGGTTGTCGGATGGCGGTTGGGTTGGTAAAGAACTGTTAATAATCGCCGGAGATGATGGATGAGAAGAAGTCTTGCAGGTGATTGTCAGGGCCGGCAAGGTGGAAGGAGAGAGTGGAGGGGCCCGTCAGTCAGGTTTTTTAAGCCCGCCGTCATCAATGCTGGTCCCTCCCTGCCTGAGAAGTGCAGTCCGCAGCCCAACTAAACCCTGTACGTCCACTGGGAGGGGCGCCCGACTCAGCACCAGCGCCCACTAACAGTCATGCGCCTGTGCGTCACCGCCTGATGGTAGGGAGTGACATGGGCTATGGCGGGACACATGTAGCTGGAGTGTCCAGCCTGTCAGTCCTAAGGCGTGAACATGCCACAGCCTTCCGCTGACTTCGACGCACGACTCCAATACTGACCGTGGCTTAGGCATTCATACCAAATCTCCAAGTCCTTGACTCTCTTCGTTGCTATTGGTTCAAACCACCCGCTGCACGTGCTGTGGCCAAATGTGCCATGCTTATGAACGCTCACCCATGTTTGACCAAGCTCATCAAGGTGTCTATAATTCTTGGACTTGCATATATGACACCACGATGCTCTTTCTCTTTTTTTTGCTTAGGAATTAATTTTCGATCCTTCGTGAACCAGACGGGATGGAAGTCGCGACGTGCTAAGCTAATCTAGAATGTTCCAGTGTGATGCACGTTGCAGGTGTAGCTGGAGTTTATTCAGTCGGTCAATCCTGAGGCCTGAACATGTCACAGCCTTCTGTGATTCGACGTACGACTCCAACACTGACCGTGACTTAGGCATACATGACAAGTAGATGCCCAAGTCCTTGACTTTCTTCATCGTGGATGTCAGAATAACATCTCGACTTTCCAATACAGGCCACAATATATAGAAATAGTTGATACTAAAACAATAATAAATTATTAAGTACATATTAGGCAACAAGATCTGGGTACCTATTGTTACACAATAGAATGATGATGTGACCGACTACCACAATCTGTCGAGATGAATTTGCAGTCCCTATTTCTGACGGCCACTTGGCCATTATTAGAGCGATATATTGATGCTAAACGAGATAGGGACATTGAAGATGTCACTAAAATTTTGGAGATGAGCCCCGGCCCTTTATTATTCTCCGAATAACACGTAGAGCGAGGAGGAATGGATTATGCGTCTGGAATTATAGACTTTCTAGGTACTTAATTACCCATAGGTAAGGTACCGTATCTTTAGACTTTGATCTTGGTAGGTATCTTTTAACCGTGCTATTAGGCTTCGAGACACCTCAAACCATTTGCCGGTCGTGCTGTTGCCTGCGCCTCACGGGAGAGTTCGAGTGTAAAGTACCTTGAAAAAAAAACACCAATATAAGATGCCAGACCCGACATCTTTTCCCTTTCTCATCACAATAAACAAGCCTACGAAAGAAAATGGATCGCCTAGTCAAAGACCATAGGTTCTCCCCCGAAGAACTCGCCGCGGCCAGTCCACAGCAGATTCTTTCACGCATGCTATCAACAAGGTCATTTCTTTCCTATGATAGCGCCCAGGGTGGTATCTCCAAGCAACGTTCTGTTGAAATCGGAAAAGGCCAATGCGGCACGATCTTCGCCCTGAATGGCACAGATACAGTAGCGAAAATTCCAAACTCTACTGAAAAGGTCGACGAGCTCTTTACAGATTTTCGGATCCATTACCTCGTCATCCAAGCAATGAATGAAGTTGATACTAAGCTCAGGATGGATATCAATGTTCCAGAGCTTCGCACATGGGTGTCTCCAGCTATTCAAGCCTTTTGGGCCCGTTATGGATTACGCTCTCCCCAGTATATAGATGCTAAGAGCTTCGCCTTGGTCTCAGATCGAGTATTTCCTGTTCCTCTGCCAGTTCGAGATGCTCTTGTGGACGTCCTTTGCCCGCCAGCGATTCGAAAACAAAAGCAGGTTTTTCTAGCAAAGCCAGAGAATCAAAACTGCCTTATTCGCCTCTACCTGGGTCGTCGAGAGATCACTAAGGCTAAGAAAAACATTCAAAATATTCGACTCCAAAACTTCCCACTCCATGTTAATGAGATGGAAGATCTAGGGCTGGATACTGGCTCATTTGCGCAAGTCATGGCCCAGACCCTCGCGATTCTCCACTGGAAAGCTGGTGTTGACGGTAATGATGTTGAGTTCATCCTTGGAAGCTCACCTGTGTCAACGAGATTACCATCACGAGCTGAGGTTATGAGTAGTGATAAAGATTCTTTTGGAACTCATTTCCGGTTTGACTTTGGTCGCCGGTCGCTCCCTCTCTGGCTGATTGACTTTAACCAGTAAGTATCATTATTCCTAAAGTCTTTATAACACTGCTAATAGCTTAACAGGTGCTCTACTTTTGAAGATAACGAGGCAGGGCTCAAGAAGATTGTTGATGCCTTCTTCTGGAATGATCCATACTACCCTCGCCCAAATTCAACTAATGCTCAGGATCAGAATCTCTGGGCTACCTTTAGCCAACGATATCTTGAGGTCAGCCGAACATTCACGGATAGTACAAGCCCAGGGGCCTTTATCGCTCGAATCGAAGAACGAGATCGTAAGGGGACAGTAAGCGGGCTCTTTTAAGCAGAGGGGCAAGTTATATGCACACCTAGACACTCCAGCGTTAAGTTTTAGCGTAATATCAAAACAATTAACCTAGTAGTAAACACAATATCTAGCTCAATATCGTAGAATAGTTGGTTATTCTCTTATTATTGTGTCTAAAACGAGGTATATGTGTAGACTTTGCATTCCTAAACAAAGGCCTGAACGCCAGTAATAGCCCTTCCTAGGATTAAGCTGTGAATATCGCTTTGGCCTTCGTATGTCTGGGTTACAAATAAGTTCGCAACATGCCGCCCGATCATGTACTCGTCGCTTGTAGCATTGCCTCCAAATATTTCCTGGAGAATTCTCGCGTTTCGAAGTGCCGCATCGCAATTCTGGCGTTTGACCAGACTGATCATCTCAGGCACCGCGTTACCCTCATCTTTGAGTCTACCCACCTGTATAGCTGCCACTGTCCCGTACGCTGCATCGGTCACCGCATCAGCCAGCTTCTTCTGGATGAGCTGGTACTTGGCTAGCGGGTTGCCCTTGAACTGCCGGCGCTCGAGAGCATATGTTCTAGCCCGGGAAATGCTGTCTTCCAAAGCCCCCATCACTCCCATTGATATGCCGTACCTTGCGCTGTTGAGGCAGCTGAAGGGGCCCTTGAGCCCCTCCACATGTGGGAACATGTTGGCTTCCGGAACCGGGACACCGTCCAGATGGATCATTCCAGTGATGGAGGCTCGCAGCGCTGTCTTATTCTTGATCGCTGGTGTTTCTAAAGTGCCCGGGGGGCAGTCCTTCCTCTCAACCAGGAATCCTCGGATCTTCCCAGTCTCTTGTAGTTTAGCCCAGACCATCAGCACATCAGCAATAGGGCTGTTGGTAATCCAAGTCTTGGAACCGCTCAGAGAATAATAGCCCTTCTTGGTCGGATGCGGCTTCGCGACAGTCTCCATGCTGCCTGGGTCGCTGCCGTGGTTGGGCTCGGTCAACCCAAAGGCGCCGAGCAGCTTGCCCTTGGCCATTTCAGGTAGGAATTTCTCCTTCTGCTCCTCGGTGCCGTGCTCATGAATACCACCCATGACAAGCGAGGATTGGACAGACATTCCAGAACGGTAACCGCTATCGACTCGCTCGACGGCGCGGGTGATCAGACCGGCGGCTACCGTCGATGCGCCTGCGCATCCATATCCTTCTAGGTTGGCGCCGAGCAGGCCCAGCTCGCCCATCTCCTCAAGTATCTTCGGGTCATAGTCTTCGTTGCGATATGCCTCTATTCGAATATGTAAGCTTGACTGCTACAGCTGGGTGGGCTGCGAACAACCTACCTAGTACGCGCGGTTGTAGACGTTCTTGACAGTATCGCTCTGCGGTCTCGGCGATGGCTATCTCATCCTCGGTTAGGAGACTCTTTGCGTTGAGAGGGTCCTCCCAGCTGAATTGGGGGCTTGTTGCTGATGCAAAACGCCTAGAAGCTTGCTGCAGGGGCAAAACAGGCCTGGCGCAGACTCTTACCGCCAAACGGAACATGGCGACGATTCAATTGCTTGTGTATAAATGAGTTCCGGGAGCTCGAGGTTCAAGTCGGAATGTTAGAGGCTGCCCCACCTCCAACCTGGGGAAGCAGTTGCACTAATAAAGAAATAAACGCGCACATTCTTGCCATGGAATTCGCACATGGGAGTAGCCGAACACTGCGACTAAAGTGAGAGCCGCCTGCTTTCCCTTATCTCGAATGGGCAAATGTACGAAATTTGCACAAGCCAGTAGCTCAATCCTGCCTATTTAACGAGAGCGCGCAACCTCGGCTTGTATATCTCGGGGCAATGACATTAAAGGCCCACCATCAAAATGGAATATGAGGTTTACAAGATATTAGAAGTTTCCCATAGTAGGCTATGTTGACGTATTTGCGATGCTCTGAAACGAACCGTAGTGTAGATGGCGCCTAGTTTGCAGCTGAACTGGAATCAAGGTTACAATGCTCTTCAGTTGAAAACGATCTACGCCATACCTTTGCACCGTTATTCTGTAGAAAGACAAGCGCATTCTTCAACCGTAGTTAACCACAACCTCGAATACCTTGTAGCGAAGGTTGTTGTTCAGAAGAGCCACCTCATTGGTAGCAACACACCGAAAGAGGCATCGCATTGAATATGGTGATGCATTAAGTGAATGCGGGAAGTGGTACCTGTATTATACTCAGTTAAGCATACTAGACTGTCTTTGAGACATAATCCCTGCTCTTGGCTTCGCAGCTTTGGCTGCAGGTAACAAAATCGAGGGATATGCGTAAGCTTATTGAAACCGTCGCAACTCCTCACTCTGCCTTGCGTTCTGACTCAGCCTATCCAATTCAGCCGTTGCAAGTACCACAGAAGCCATTGCCAGAGGACTTGTCCCCTCCGCTGACTGAGCCAACCCTACATTGTCAATTGAATGGTGTTCCTGCGGACAGCGTGCCATGCGCCTTCGTTCTTTGCCATCCTTCAATTTGGGTAGCTCTGGGATCGTGTTCTTCCGTGAGGATTGGTTCGTAGGCCCGGCAGATTTCCAGACACGCGTGCTTCGAAGTCTCTGGGCAAGTCTTCTCCGAACACCAGCTGGGGAGGTTGGCTGAGAAAACGATATGTGCCTTAGTCCAACAGGAGGGACCTCGTGTGAACAACGAGGACAGGAGGGACTTTGCTTCTAAACGAAGATGTGTCAGCGCCTCATCCCAAAAAGCGAGTAAAATGCTAGAATACCCCTGAATTTCTGTACACCCGGGTCAGATCCGGACAAGAAGCTATGCCGTGTTTGAGATGACTCGAGGGTGATGTCTGGGGAGACATGTCGGAGCCACTCTGGGATGTTTGAGGTCGCCATCCTTGCCCTCTTTTGAAGAAATTGTTCGGCCACTGTCTCCTTTTCGAACTTATTTGGGGCCGGCCAGGCTTAAACGCCGGCGGTGGTCTTGATTTAACACTATCGTCTGGACATTGATGATACTTGCTGCTTTCAGCTGGGGCTAACGAACTCATGGATCACACAATAAGAACAAAAAAAGGAAGTTAGAGACACAGTATGGATAATCATTCGGATGCGCGTCGAGACGGGCGTTTGAGATAGGATTTCCAAGGAAAATGATCGTCGGCGTTTTTGTCGCGGAAAAAAATGTTTGTTTGGGTGATTTCTTGGAAGCCATGACGGCAGGGACCTGAGAGATCCGAATAGCAAGCCAAGCGAACTGCTGCTTCGATTGGGAAGGCGCTACCTGCACTCTATCTCAAAGCATGAGCTGCCTTCTTATTCGAGCAGACATCTAGGGAGGGCCCTTTGGCACCTGACAGCATCCCAGAGTGATTGCTGATACGATGATTGAATTAAGGCTGATTCATGCTCACTCAGGCTTTTTCTTAACCTGCATCAACGGCTCTCATACAAGCTACTACCCCCTCCCTTGAGCATAGGTGAGGCTGACCTGTGATGCAAAGAAGCAATTACCCAACAGGGGCTACTGCATGCATGATGGGCACTATCACTTGATGGACCTAATTATAGTGTGTTGTTAGTCATCCTAGAATCTCGGTCGGAATGCATTTCAACACCGACTGAAATCAAGGGATGACAATTCGCACTGCAGATATTGCAATTACCAAACTCTTCTCTATGCAGCTCCGCAGTGAGGTCATTGTCTAGGTGCAGCCCACCAACTAAATGGCTGGTGACTAGGCACAACAATGTATTCCTCACTGCAAGTCCGGGGGTAGCAAGGCCAACCATCGCGGATGAGGTTGGTATTTGGAGCAGTCAAACTTATCCAGCGAGCCACGCGGGGAGACCAGTGGTTGGTTCCTAGTAGTAGTAATAGCGGCGCTAGACTATCCGTTTATGACGCTATTGGCGAGGTACCTTCGCCTCGGGACTTTGGATGTCCTGGAACCCGAAACCGAAATGTCTCTCATTCGTACCACCGCCCCAGTCTGACGGACGGACATGACCGTACGAAACTGGGAGGTGCGGCAGCCAGTTCGGATTTGCATCACTCTCTGGAATATTAATGAGGGGGAATTGCTCTCGTTGCTGAGTGAATACCAATTGAAACGCCAAGGCGAGCGTACGGAGTGCAGGCGGATACGCTCTTTTCCACCACCCATGTCCAACGCGCACTTCTAATACCAAGTTGCATTACTGTTGGTCTGCGCTCCTTGCCAACAGACCGGTTCGTTCTTGGCGTGCCAATCAGTCCCCGGCAGCAGATTCCAACCTCGTACTACAATGTGCAATGGACGCGCACGCCTGCTCTGCATGTCCGCGAGGGCCAATGGTGTAAGCGATCCTCGACGGCGATAGGCCTCTGAGCACACGCGCAACCCCAGCGGCAAAAGTGCAGTAGCACTGCGGGAAACAGCTTGTCCGTCTGCTTACACCAACGGATGTGTAGATGCCGCCGTGTTTACACACTCTCTGCCGTCTGCTTCGTTGACGGGGTGCCTGAGTCGGCGTCCCCTCCGCCGCAATGATTACGACCCAGTAAATATTGGGAACTAAAGGCCCAAGGGGGCGTCGGGGTGGCGGAGCCCCCTGATAATCACCATCTGCTTGGTACCTTACCTTCTGGTAAGGAACTGTATGATGCCATCTGTAATTTAGTGCATTCAGGTGGGCAAGGCGCCGTAGAATGGAGGAGTCTCGTCCTCTTTAGCACGTTGAGACCGCTGGCCTAGGCGGTCCTGCGCGGTACAACCTGTCAGAGCTGGCCCGTACCGGCCAATGACCGCCGTGGGATCAGCCTGTGCACAATGCAGCGTTGCGGGCGGTCCTGCGATGGCTCCCAGTGGCCGCGATTATCTTGGCGTAGGACTCACATGCCGTCGGGAGGCCTTCTTTGGCCTCCTCGCCAGGCTGTTCCGCTGGGGTACCTGCTCAACCACGGCGGTGGCGCTGATAGAGCAGGTACTCGGCCAACCAACCTGCCTTTCATACCTCATCTTGAAGATTGGCTTGCCTGTTTCCTGTTCTCGACATAGTCCCTGAAAGCGGGCCTCAGTCTGGGCACTTGGCACGTCACCGAGCATTATCGTCCCTTCTCCTTCTGCGACGGCGCATCGACCTCCTAAAGGGCGGGCTTCGCGTCGGTTTCTGCTTATGCGTAATTGGGGTCTTTCCAGAAGTATTGGAAGTTCTACCCAGCTGTCTCTCACAGCCAGCCGTCCGTACCAGTGAAATTGACCCTCCTGTCCCCCAGCCATCCCGAGAAGGCCTCGGCGTGGGTGCACAGGCCCCCCAGCACAGGGTGACCACGCCAGCAGCTCCACCGTCCTGTCGGACAGCCAAGCCTAGCTGAGCAAGCCAGATGCCAATCCCCTTCATTTCCGCCTCCCACCACCACAGCAAGCATGAACTGAGCTGGCGTGCCAAACAAGCCTACTTGCCTCTCTGCCCTCCGTCTACCTTCCCCATCCCTACGACGACATCCACGATCCTCACGACTATCCAGACGACCGGAGGGGGGACACGATAACGCATTCTAGCAGCCCCATCGCTAGCCCATCACGATACTGACCACACGAGGCTGGCGGTCGATCCTGAGGGAATCAAGCCTGCCCCAATCCCTTCCAGGACCCTTCCCACGTCCAGCGAATAGCATTGTACACCAAGTAGCATCTAATTTTCCAACCACCCAATCTCGAGGATCGGGTTTCTCCTGACATCTACCCACGGCTCGAGATGCCCTCATTCCTCAACGACGCCAACTCGCCCATCTTCCAGGACAACGCGGATATCCTTAATCTTGATCCCCATAACGACTTCGGCGTCGCTGCCTCAGGTAAGGACGCTCGGGTCGTGGATGGCGGCATCACCATCCCGCAACAACCCCAGTCTCGTACCATCAATGAACCATACGACGAGACGTCAAACTCATCCATCCACGACTCTGACGTATCGGACTCTGTCCCCATGAACACGAATGGAAACGGCACTCGCCCTACGAGCATGAGCTCCCTTCCTAACAACAAGAGTTTGTCCAATGGGAACGACAGTGGATATGATGCCGATGGTCCTATCAAGAATGATGACGCGTTCGCCAATGGTATCACGCATACACTTCCCGACCGCACAGTCCGCAATTCGAAAGAAGCCGGTGTCAATGGGACAGCGAACACGAACGAGATGACCCACCACTCCCAACATGAAGAGTCAACGACCGATTATTTTACAGAGAGTTCGAAATCTGCACGTCATCTGGGAGAGGACGTCCGACATCAGCTCCAGACGATCCATTCGGGGAGCGAAGCCATCAACGCTAATGACCATAATGCCTCGCCAACAGCATTTATACCTGACTCCACACCACCCAATTCCTCAACACATCGACTATCCTCATCGCCGACCTATCAGGCAGGAGCCGGCTCGCCGTCGTCTTCTAACCTGCAAAACTCGCACCCGAACTCCCAATTACGGCAGAGACATACTCTCGAAGTACCCAGAGCCTCCGCAAACCGACTTGCCAAAGATGGACCGGAAACTTCACAGGCCACTGGACGCTATTCACACCCCGTTGCGCCCGTCGGCTCACGGAGAGCATCATTGAGCTTGGCTCGTAGGACAACCAGGTCTATGCAGTCGGAAGGTCCGCGCGACGAGATTGTGCCAGATGAAGATGCTCAGAGATGGGCTGAGGCACTTCGGCAGAAGAGGGCCAGCAAGCGCAAGAGAAAGGAAGAGGAAGACGATGACCGGGTCCTTGTGGGAACGAAAGTGGACGAGTCCCATGCCAACTGGGTCACAGCCTATAACATGCTGACAGGAATCCGGGTATCGGTCTCAAGAACAAATGCAAAGTTAGACCGTGAGCTTACGGATGAAGACTTTGAAGTGAAGCAGAAGTCTACCTTCGATATGTAAGTGACCAGCCACTGTTGAGCACTGCCTTATTCGCCGTTCGTCGGAATGCTAACATGATTAAAGAACTGGCAATGAGTTAGTCCCCTCAGCGAAATACGATTTCAAGTTTAAAGATTATGCGCCTTGGGTCTTTCGACATCTGCGATCTCTCTTCCGCCTGGACCCTGCAGACTACCTCATGTCTCTGACCGGAAAGTACATTCTCTCCGAACTTGGATCACCAGGCAAGAGTGGGAGCTTCTTCTACTTTTCCAGAGATTATAAGTACATCATTAAAACGATCCATCATGGTGAACACAAATTCCTGAGGAAAATCCTCAGAGAATACTATTCACATGTCAAACAAAACCCCAATACGCTCTTGTCTCAATTCTACGGCCTCCATAGAGTCAAGCTTCCGTATGGCAAGAAGATCCACTTTGTTGTCATGAATAATCTCTTTCCCCCGCATCGCGATATCCATACGACCTTCGACTTGAAAGGCTCGACTATTGGTCGAGACTATAGGGAAGAAGACTTGGAGAAGAATCCCCGAGCCACATTGAAGGATCTGAACTGGTTGCGACGAAAGCGTACCTTGGAGCTTGGGCTGGAAAAGAAGCGATTATTTTTGGAACAACTACAACGCGATGTTGTTCTTCTAAAGCGCCTCGATATCATGGACTATTCTCTCTTGGTGGGTATCCATGATCTATCAAGAGGCAACGACGAAAACCTTCGCGATAAGACACTTCAGGTTTTTAACCCAGGTGGTGAGAAGTCTCCTGAAGATGAGCCCCAATCTGTCCTCCTTCGAACTCCTTCGAAGTTGGAAAACGCACGAAAAGCTCGGGAGCTCAGGCAGATGATTCGGGCGGAAAGGCCAGTCCCGCTTGGACAGGCATTTGACAAGATGCCCGAAGTATTGACTGAGGGTCAAAGCCGGCCTGGGTTCGTTTTCAATGAGGATGATGGTGGTTTCAGGGCCACGCATGAAGATAATGCTCCTGCTGATGAGATTTATTATCTTGGTGTCATTGATTGCCTAACTCATGTAAGTCATTCACCACATGTGTTTGTCACTACTCACATAGAATAATCTGCTAACATTCTCGAAATCTAGTACGGAATGATCAAGAAGGTTGAGCATTTCTGGAAGGGCCTGACAAGTGACAAAACACAGATTTCAGCACTACCCCCAGCTCAATATGGGGATCGTTTCTACAACTTCGTGGAGGGCAACACGATGTCTGTGGAGGAGGCTAAGAGGGAGGAAGCGCGGTTGAAAGCACAGGAAATTACCCAAAGCTTGGAATCCACGATCAAACCGCCCAAGCACCAAAGCATTCCTCCTATGCCCGATCACCAACCGCCGGCACCTCCCCCAGGTGGACGATCTCCGGAGGGCCGAGAGACTGTGGAAATGGCCAGCAGGGAAGCCCAACGAACCGAAGCCGCGGGCGTGTCTGAAAAGCACATCCCCGATAGGACACTTCGGGCCGCAGTCCCCTATTCGGATAAGCGAGAATCTCTTCATCGTGAACCGATCCTCCCCCTCGTCCAAGAGGCAATTGAAACCTCAGAGATTCGTCCCGAAACTCCGCCAAAGAATTTCATGTTACCACCAACCCGAGCTCCACCTCCAACTCCACCGAAACCATCATCGCTGGCTAACGCTTCTGGTTTCCCAAACGGTACCGCCGGTAGGAGACTAAAAACCATGGCAAGCCAAGAGAGCCTTAACAAATCTCTACCGCCGCTTCCGAAACAGGAAGAGACGGACGACAGTGGCGTTAGAATGGTTGCATAGTTCGTCAAAACATTCACTTGCTGTCTACCTCGCTAAATGAGACTCGGAGACACATGGCGAAAATAACAGGATTTGAATCTCTTTCACAAAGTCATCTGAACATCCCCGCTGGCGTTTTGTTTTCCTTCGTGCTGGTGTTCCTGTCCACATTCTGTTCACAAATGGAGCTCTTCGGGTTGCTTAACGACAACCTTTCATCATTCCTTAGAAACCAACTTTTTTTTTTCTATCATAACTTCCTCTGTTCGCATTTCTCTTACCATATGTCATAAGACGCCTCCGTTAGGGAGGACTTGCATTACTATTGGTTTTAAAGGTAGTCCGGGCGCTATTATGTGGTGGAAGAATGGGTAACGGAGGTTACGTGAAGCTCGTCGGGGCTGGGTTTTGCCAAGCTGAGGCCAGAACATAGAAGAGATACCACTACTGCTTTCAAGCAAGCTGACTTATATTTTTACACCCACAGCCTGTTGTGTTTATAATTTCTTGCAGTTTTGTTTCTGTTAATCCTTTTGTTTCTGTTTACCTTGCTTGATTATTGTTCGTCTACATAGGGTTCGGGTTGGGTTGCAGGCAAGGAAATGATATGAAGATGGGAGAGTTTTCTCCTTCATTTCAAACCTTGGATACAAGTACACGGGCGTCATTCATTCGTGACGCTGACCAGTGATATGATAATATACAGAGATACTTTACAAGTTATAAAATAGAACAGTGCGTTTCGCCCATCAAATGCTTTCCACCTCTTGTACTCAGCTTTTTTTTTTCATCCCCAGCCAGTACAGTAGGAGAGAAAAAGGGAAGACGATTATCTCCTCTTGGACTCCAGCATGCCCTGTATATCCTCAATGCCCTTGCCCCCCTTCTCGTTGATCCCACCTTCGGGCGCAAAGGTGGTGGTGACGGTCATCTCCGTGGCGCCCTGGCGGCGCAGCTCCTCCAGCCGGCGCTGCTTCTGCAGGTTGGCGACGCGCCACTGCTTGAAGTATTTCACCCACTGGGCGGCGCAGTCCTGGTCGAGCTGCTGGGACTCGGCGCGGCAGGCGACGCGGTCGGCCTGGTTTGGGTCCTTGAGGGGGTCGTCGATGCCGTGGGCGTCGAGGCAGCCGAAGTAGGCGTCGCGGGCGGCCCAGCAGACCTTGCGCTCGGAGCGGTTGGGGATGGCTGCGCCGGAGCGGATGGCGTCGCCGCGTGGGTCCGAGGAGCCGAATGGCCACACGCCCATGGCTGCTGTTTGTTGTGGTGGTGGGATTTGTTGTGTGTGTGTGTGTGTGTTCCGGTAGAGATGTGTGGTGGTGGGAGGTCTTTCCCGGCTTTGGTGGGGAGTGAGATGATGTAGTGTGCCGAGAGCTGGCGGAGAGGCGAATTAACGCTGGGCAGCAGCCCGTGCGGAGATGGTGCTTAGGTAGTTTCTACAAATAGAACCCCGGCAATATCAGAGGAATTGGCTTGAGTCTGAGCCTGGCCTGCAATGATGCTGTACTGGACAATTGGTGGAATACGTGCAATGAGCAGTGTAATTCTGCTTCGAGTGTCACAAAATTGGGCATTGAGCTGTGCTTGGATTGGAGATGACCAAGCGTCAGAGGCGGCAGAATAAACGGGCGGTGTGACGGATGGGGTTAGCGCAGGGTCCCCTAAGCCGAGCGCTGCTAATTACCATCTGCAGGCTCTATCCAGGCTTTGAGCAGGGTGTCAACTGACGCTTATGCCAGCTGGACAACAGGCAGGCGATTCTCGGTTCACACATCCGCCATCCACTGGAGACATTTCCCATCTATACCAACCCCGGCATTCCGCCAACTTCTGTCCCGTCCATCATTGCATCTTCACACTCGACTACTCAACTCCTTGCTACTAGGAACGAACCCGAGCTGTCATTGCAAGATAGCTCTTTCTAATAGAGCGATCCCTTATTCGAGCTCTCTGAACCAACGTCAACAAGACCTACGAAACACCGTCAACCATCAAGATTTCGAGATGGTATCGCGATCATAATAGTTTCCCTACCTCTCCATCCCAGACACACTCGCGCACTCTCCTATAGAACGAGATCTTCCTCTCTACGACCACTCCAGTTTTAAAATCTTCAACTCCTTCTCGACTCTTTCACCACCATCCCCGCATAATCATATAGCCCGACATGGCCCGTCGTCGCAGACCCCCTCGAGCCGGCGCTCTAAACGAGCTTCCTCCTCTCAAAATCGCCGCCCAGATTGCAGTATTGCAGGCACTGTTCTATGTTGGAGCCCTCGTGCTCATGGTCTTCACTGCCCTGATAGGCGGCATATCTTTTGGACCAGACATGATCCTGGGTTGGGATCGCATCAGGGGCGACACAACCCGAGGCTGGATGTTGGCGTTGGTATGGATTATTGACGGCGGCTTATGCATGTAAGTCTCTCTCTTCCTAACAATATGTCCTTCTCGGCCGATTTCCGAGGTCATACTAACGACATTCAAGGGCCGTCGCCATCGTCGCGCTCATCGCTCGAAGCAAGCTGGTGCCAGACTTTGCTCTCACCATCCACTTCCTCCACCTCCTCGTCACTACCTTCTACACCGGCTCCATCCCCAGCAACATGATGTGGTGGGGCACGATGCTGCTCTCCTCGACGGTCACCATCAGCCTGGGCATGTGGGGGTGCCAGCATCGCGAGCTCCAGCCCGTCTTCTTCGGCGGCGGTCGCATACTGGGCAACAACGGCCCTCCGCCCGCGAGCACGACGGCAGGGAGCGCGGGCGACTCGCACGAGCACGACGAGGAGGACATAGAGCTGGGACTCTCAAGGGGGAGAGGGAGGGACAGGTCCATAAACGAAGAGTACGAAATGGACAAGATGGTTCCCAGCCGGTAACATTTGAGCAAGAGCCTTTTTTTCTTCATGTGTTTATTTCTATTTGGGCGGGCCGGTTCGCCTAGGAACTCAAGATGAGCGTGCATTGCGAGGCGTTGTCTGTTTGTTTCTTCTGTGGTTCGAGAGAGCCGCACTACTATTTTCTCATTATATATATTTATTACTTGTGGGATGGATAGAGTACACAGAGTATATTTCTTAATCATTACGACTGGTTCGCACAAACAAATTTTGTTAGAAATGATGAAAGTTCTAAGGGAAATCTCAACCTTATCCTAGAATCCCGTCGTTTAACTATCTAGAACGCCCTTGAATGATACCGAACATGATGCATGAAAATCTTTCGTTTTCCGTTCTCTTGTAAAATGCGAAATGTTACAATACACATCGCTCTCTTTCGACTCTCCCCCTTCATGCGCCAGCCACAACAGCGAGGCTATCGTATATGACCTTCTTGACCTCGTAGAGGGCGCTCCTCCTCCCGGGGACCGGCAAGCCCACGCTCTCGACCTCGATTCTACCTTCGGCCGTCTTGCGGACCGCCACGCTGCCGTCGATGACGAGCATACCCTCGCCTCTAAACTCGGCCGAGTGACCGTTGCCGAGCATGGCTCTGCGCAGATCGGCGAGGCGGAGATCGCCCACGTGCAGCGGCTGGGCCGTCGTCCGGGCCGCAGAGACCATGTTGGCGGGCAGCACATCCAGGATGGGCAGGGACGCCGGTATCGAGGGGTTGGCCAGGACGACGGCGTTGGAGGCGGCCTCGACCTTCTGCCGCTTGTTCGAGGTCTCGTCCTCGTCCGGCTGGGCGTTGGCGGAGGAGAGCGCCGCGGCCAGCAGCTGGCCGCTGATGGTGACGACGCTGAGGCCGCGGACGTTCTGCCACTTGAGCTTCTTGACGAGGGGGTCGGCCAGCTTGACGACCCAGGCGTTTGTGTCGACGCTGGCGTCTACCGAGTCGCCGATCTGGGGGGTGAAGACGTCCGCTGTCCGGTCGCCGCCCTCGCTGCTGAGCGCGGCGCGGCAGTCTTCCGCCAGAGCCATGGTCTCCTCTTTATTGCCGCCCACGAGGATCAGCTTTCGGGGCTGGATTAGAGGTATGAGCATGTTTAGACTGCGCTTATCATGCAGGCCGCTAAAGTCGACAAAGGCCAGCCGTAGGTTGACAACGATGTTTTCGGTATTATAGACCAGTTTCGAGGGCCCTGCAGGCTCCTCGGGCTCTGGGTCTTGGGCTTCATCAAGATCGTCAAGAGGGAAGCCGTCCGCACCGACGGCCTCGTTGGTGTCGTCCGCGGATATCGTGCGATTAGGTTGCGGGCGCTTGTTCAAACCGCCGTTCTTTGCCACATCTTCCCACTTCCTCTTTTTGCCAACCTTCTCGTCTTCGGCCGTTACCGCTCCGCCGTCGGCGGTATCGTCCTCCTTCTCCTCTGCCCTCAGGAAGTCTTCAGGTCGAATGAGCTCTCCGTAGTCATCGATCCTCTTCCTTCGGATCGTAATAGGAAACGTCCTCTCTCTTCCCTTCTTACCCCTGGTATTAAAATCGTACACGCCCTTTTTCTTGATAAGAACATTGATCCCTAGGTCCTCGTCTTTCAGGACCACGTTCTTCCGGCCGGCCTGGGCAATGGTTGCAGACACATTAAGAGCCTTGCCCTGCTGCTCACTATCCTCATCTTCGGAGTCTGATGATGACTCCGAAGACGCATCGTCCACGATGTCGCCGGATGCCTCCAGGGCACCTACACCACCAGCTTGCTGTGTAGCTTGCAGCTGTCTCTGTGTGGCCAGCCATTGCTGGTACAGGACCAACTCTTCACCCTCCAGCGCCTGGCGATAACCCTCTTTTAGATCCAGCCCTCGACCACCTGCGTACACGAGTTCAAGGCTGTCTCCGCTAGCCGTCGTCTCAACCGCAACGCCCTCCTTCCTCTCTTTCCACCACTCCCACAGCGTGAGGGCCACAGATGGCGTTCCGTCCTTCATCGTTCCGGGCTTATCAGTCAAGATAACCAAGTTGCGCGAGTCCTTAGCCAGGCCCTTGAGCAAATCCCGAGAGAATCCCCACTCCATGGTGGTGTCGCTCGCCAAGATGACCCGTCCCTCGGTCTCGACATTCCCAGTATCCCGGTTGAGGAG